GAAAGAGCGCCACCTGGGGGCCAGAGAACAGGGCTGGAATCCGGCCTGGGATGTGCCTGGCAGGTGAGTTTGGGCACTCGCCTGCCTGAGTCTGTTTCCGCGTCTGCAGAACGGGGACAGTCACACTGACCCCGCAGCCTGTCGGGGGAATTAACGAGGATGACCGGTCCCCTCAGCCCCTCAAGAGCAGAGGCCCGTCTTCTTTTCCAGGACGCACCCAGCCCCCAGGAAAGTGCCCAGCGCACAGTAGGTGCTCAGCAACGTGTCACTGTCAAGTTTTCCCGAGCCTTCCTTCATCACCACAGAACCAACCCCGGAGGAGACCTTAGCGCAGCCGTGGGCAAACTACGGCCCGCGGGCCGGATCCGGCCCGTTTGAAATGAATAAAACTAAAAAAAAAAAAAGACCGTACCCTTTTATGTAATGATGTTTACTTTGAATTTATATTAGTTCACACAAACACTCCATCCATGCTTTTGTTCCGGCCCTCCGGTCCAGTTTAAGAACCCATTGTGGCCCTCGAGTCAAAAAGTTTGCCCACCCCTGCCTTAGCGGCTTCCCAGCTGGGGAGAGGGCGCAGCCTGTGGCGGATTTGTCTGCTGGGACAGCCTGTCCCGCCAGCCGAGGTCTGCTTGTCTGCAGCCAGCCCCTCTCTAGCTCCCCTCCCTGCAGCCCTGCACTGACCCCTTTCTGACCTCTGCTCCAGGTGCCGGCCAGGTGTCCCCACAGCTGCCGCGCCCTCCCCTCTCCTGAGCCGCAGATTTAGAGCCTGCAGGGCAGGAACTTGCACCTGAGCTGTGGAGGGTGCATTCCAAGGGAGGCCGCCCTCAGACACACCTGGCCAAACCCCGCCCGCCCTGCCCGCCCCACCACAGCCCTGGGCGCAGCAGGAGCCCTGCCGACTGTTCTTGGATGTGACTTCTGCTGAGGGGGGTTGGAGAGAGGGCCGGGCCTTCAGGTGTTTGCGGGGCTGAGGGAACCCCCACTCTCTCTCTCCCAATGTTCCAGGCCAAGCTCTCCGC